AGACACAGTCAAACGCCTTATCTGTCTTACTCTAATTTATTTACTCGAAGTATACCCTCAATTTTCTCTCGGAACTGAAGAAACAGCACACACATAAAATAAACATAAAGATTAAGAGCCCCATTTCAAGCGCACAAATGGGAACAAGAAAATCGAAATAAAATATCGGGCTATGCTTACCTGCAGTAAACAGTGTTACGAACTGTCACGATATTAGTCCAAGTTAGCAGGCATCTAGTACTTTCGACGAAATCACCCTACAACGTTGCCGCCGGACGAAAGAAATATACTCAATCAACTTCAAATAATGGAAACTTGAGCTATATGTAACTCGCCTGCTAAATGAACAGACTTTTACAGATGCCTGATCACACGCAAAAAAACAAAAAAAAAGCCAAGACAACAATATAATTGCTAGTCTCTCTGCCGGCAATAACGTAATGACCTCATTTCGTAATATACTACTATTAATGTTTGTGAAGCGCACGAATAATTTCCAGCTGCCGAATGTCAAACTTTGGAAAACATGTGAACATTTTTTTACGAAGTAATTTCCCAGGATAAAATTGAATTTATATTTTTTAGACATGATAAGAACAGCACTCAAGGACGAAAACATAAAAAGAAGAACACCGAAAAAGACACACTCAAGCGCCTTGTGTGTCTTACTCTAATTTATTTACTCAAAGTATACCCTCAATTTTCTCTGGGAAATGAAGAAACAACACATACATAAAATAAACAGAAAGATCAAGAGCTCCATTTCAAGTGCACAAATGGGAACAAGAAAATCAAAATAAATATCGGACTACGCTTACCAGCAGCAAACAGTGTTAAGAACTGTCACGAGATTAGTCCAAGGTAACAGGCATCCAGTAGCCTCGACGAAACCACCCTACAACGTTGCCGCAGGACGAAAGAAATATACTCAATCAACTTCAAATAATGCAAACTTGACCCATATCTAACTCGCCTGCTAAATGAAAAGACTTTTAAAAAGGATTGATAACACGCAAAAAAAAAAAAAAAAAAGCCAAGACAACGATGTAAGTGCTAGTCTCTCTGCCGCCAATAACTTAATGAGCTTATTCCGTAATATACTATTTTTAACGTTTGCGAAGCGCACGAATAATTTTAACTGCCGAATGTCGAACTTCGGCAAATATGTAAATATTTTTGCCGAAATAATTTCCTAGATTAAAATTGAATGCATGCTTTATTTAGACATGAGAAGAAACGCACACGAGGACGAAAACACAAAAGAATAACACCGAAAAGGACACACTCAAGCGCCTGGTGTGTCTTACTCTAATTCATTTACTCGAAGTACACCCTCAATTTTCTCTCGGAAATGAAGAAACTGCTCACACACAAAATAAACATAAAGATTAAGAGCCCCATTTCAAGCGCACAAATGGGAACAACAAAATCAAAATAAAATATCGGACTACGCTTACCTGCAGTAAACAGTCTTAAGAACTGTTACGAGATGAGTCCAAGGTAGCAGGCATCGAGTACCCTTGACGAAATCACCCTACAACGTTGCCGCCGGACGAAAGAAATATACTCAATCAACTTCAAATAATGCAAACTTGAGCCATATCTAACTCGCCTGCTAAATGAACAGACTTTTACAAATGCCTGATCGCACGCAAAGAAAATGCCAAGACAATATAATTGCTAGTCTCGCTGCCGGTAACAAATTCATGATCCTATTCCGTAATATACTACTATTAATATGTGGGAAGCGCACGAATAATTAGCTCAGACATTTATACTCGGTATTTCAAGGTGACGTGACATTTTACCAAAACATTTATTGATCCTCGTTAAACCAAAAAAAGAAAAACGTTGATATTAAAAATTAGTGTTGACCACTGACTTCTACGAATATCAACGACGTTGAGAATTAATCGCGCCGGTTGGCCAGTACCGCCAATGAATGCCTGATCGACTACTGCTCTGCGAAAAAAAACAAAACATAACGACCACCTTACGAGATTTTTAAATATTTGATCAGATCCTCAATTTAACGTCCGACGCGACGCAACAACGGCACGAAAAAGAGGAAACCTCCTAGCCCCTCACGCCTTAAACGTAGGTGACCCCCGATTCAAAAGGCGTCTTGTCGCCCGGCTCCAGGCACGCCGGGCCGCCCCTCTCCCCCTTCCTCCACCCGCACACACATACACCGGAAAGAGCTCCTGGCTACGCCACTGGTTAACGTATGCCAACCTTCTCAATATGCGCTAGTGAGTGCAAGCGACAGTCATTCCTGTTCTTGCTCTTTATGAACTTCGTTGGTCTAAACCGTGTCTGCGTTCGCGCCACACACTCATTTTATCGAACGCTCGACTCCTTCAAACGTGCAGACATGTCCGCCAATCCTTTGTCTAAGGAAGACGAGGGGGGAGGGGGGGGGGCCTTCCCGGGGCGGTCACAACCGACGCCAACTGTCGCCTGCGCAGAACATTTCCTTACCTGAATACGGTGCACACGACTTGCATCTTCGACTGAAGTCAATGCAGCGCTCTCGGTGACTTCGTAAGAAGAAACTGAGCCGAACAGAACAATAAAGAACGTTCCTGCGCTGGGACGCCTCCGTCGAACGTTCGAGAAGAAAGACCGTTATGACCGGCGGGGAGCGTCGGCGGGGAACGCGCTCGGCACCGGGCAGGCACTCTTCCAGGCATGCGCGAAGAATGACGTGTCATACGAGGATACCGATTAGCGAACTCGTTTGCGCCTTTCCACAGCCAATCACAGCGCCCAGGCTCTGGCCGCGCCCAAGCAGGTGCACCCTCTGGGAGGTAATATTTACCACGTTGGTGCTCGTTCGCGGCGAACTTCACCTTGTAGCACCGCATTCTTGGTGTTTTCTGCGAATGAGGAGGTGACAAGCGGAGCGCTTCCCCCCTGGCCGGGAGGAGGGTGGTAAAATTGATCGTGATAGTACAACGTAGTAAACACGTTAGCGTTCTACCAGAAATCCCATTCAGGACTAAATACGAGTGAGCCATGCTGCCGTGAAATGGTGTTGATTTTTAGGAGTTCATGACGTGGCGGCATTACAACGAAGCTTCAGAGACCACCCTAGGCGAAATTTTAAAATCTGTTAATTTGTTTTAATATTAGTTTACTTCCCTTCACTTTACACTTCATTTCACAGCATAGACCATAACTAAAAAAAAATTAAGTGCAAACATTTCGTTTCCGTACCCCTTTAATAAACCGATCTCAGTACAGTATAATAGAATAAGGCAATCTCTCCAGCCAGCTGCCGGTATGCACGGTGAGAATAGTCTTTCTGCACGCGTGAGAACCCCACTGGGGGGTGGCGCGAGCAGAGCAGGCGACGGCACGGGCTGTCAGGTGCACTGGCACTTGCCTCCTGCGAACTAGAGCCACTAAAAGACCGATCTTACATAACTTTATGGATCTCACCAACCAGTTTGACTACGCCACCGCTGCCGCAATGCATTGAGGGAAATTCAGCCTTTCTCCAGGGGCGACAGCCCCACTGGAGCTCTGAGCGGGTGGAGCACGTGGCGGTATACGATCCCTCACTGCACGGCCGTCATGCATTCCGTGAAATAAAGTCATGGCGGCGTCACGCATGCGCCGAACGCTTAGTGAGATCGATCGAATGATCAACGCTTAGAGTATCGGCACTCCGTTCCCGGATCTGCTAGTGCGAGCCGCCATCCTGGTGATTAGAGCAGAGAATACGCACACTGGATCGTCGCAATTCAAAAACCGGACTTTCTTAGCTTTCGTCACGGTGTTAGGAAGCTCAGGTGATATTGTTTTGCTTTGTCGCGAACTATTCTAACATCTCTGGAGGACAGAAACACGGTTCTGCGATTTCAGATAAAGCTTCAGAAAAGTGGCAACCTATGATTTTAACCACCAAGATAGCTCGAGTGTCGTTACTCTGAAACGTAGCTTACTTAGTAGCTCCACGTTGACCTACAGTTATTGCTCGATCACGCATGCGTGAAAAGCTTTGGGAGATCGGTCTGTTGAGGCCAAGTTGAGCGAAATCACGCAAAAGTTGATCAAGGAGCGAGTTAAAAGAGAGAGGTAAAAACGATTTTTGTAAACCTGAAACGACGAGAAAGCGCTTATAATATGTGTTTGTGTAGTATCAATATGGTCTTCACTTCAAACTTCCAGGCATTTAGTGATTTGTAAACACGAGTAAGTTAAGTTTCACCTTGCCCAATATTTCTGATACAAATAACACAAAGTGTTTGTTAAGCTCCAATGTAATACGTTTTAATGTTTTTACCTATTCGCTTGTTAGCCGCATTGCCGCTGCGAGCGAGAAATGCAGACTTGTCATGCGACGTATTGAAAACCCAGCGCGAGTATTGCAGCACTGGTTCGCCGCTACTTTCGTAACTGTATCTAGATTCTGTAGGGCTCACTGTGAAAATTGTGACTATCGAAAGAGCGACCAAGAACAATAATCCGATTTATCATCAACATTGCACCTCGACAAAGAAGTATCTAGCTCACTGATCGTGCGTGCGGGAATACTTGGGTCGCAGTTGTGTCATTATCCTTGTGTCAATTTCCTAAAGTGTCAACGTTATATTTTGATACCCTCAGTTGTCTAGTTACGTTTTTAGCTTTGCGAAAACTCATAGCAGTGTAACAGATAGAGTTATAAGGTCGTGAGTTTGATATATTAGAAACTATTCTAGAATCGGAATTTATGCTGTGCGCTTTGTAAATGGTTCTTTCTTAAATAAATTTCAGGAATAAACCACAATGACTGGAGTTAGCCAGATAAATTTTAGAATTATTTATTTTAGTCTTTAATTCTTTATGGCCATTGTTCGCAAAAATAGCAATATATTAATCACCAAAATATTCACGAAGGAAGTAAAAAAATGCAGTCAAGCTCGTAAAGTAACCTATTAGAGGCCATATCCCAGCATTATTAAAGGGATATTGCTACTCTCCTTTGTCCAACGTAATTCAGATTTACTTACCCTATTCACAAACTGTCCTAAATATACACTCTCATCTTTGACACGATTTTTGTGGTCTGTACTAAACAAAAAGTAAAGTTCAAGGTGAGCTGAACCTTTAGCAGATAATCCACCTGGAAAGCAGAAGAGGATGTAGTAGAAAAAAAAACCCAAAAAACAAGGGACTGAGAATCGAAGTCATTTTGATGTTTTAAACGACTTTACACATAGAAAAAAAAGGCTTCTATTCCGAATATTTGGAATAAAACAAAATCTGGATGGCAAAAACAATTTCGACTCTTATTACGGCAGTTTTTTTACATTCTATTTCATGCTTGCTTCTTACTTTCTAAAAGCTTTTGGTTATAAGTAAATTTCAGGGTGAAATCGACAGAATAAAATCCGGTGTTTCGTACCGCATATATAAACCACGCATTGCAGAGAGCTGAAACTCTGCAAGGAAGTGACGCTAGTGGTAGTAATAAAATGTAAAAGGTTGAGCAGGTGACCTTAGAGGGATCGAAAGATACAAAAGGAAGACAAACATATTTTTATTAGAAGTCGTCCACCTAGGCGTAATTTGCGTCACACGAATATTTGATATTATGGGCGCCCGTAGCATTTATTTCGGGTGAAAAAAAACTTGTCAGTTAAAAAATAAAATATTGTTTTCCTTCTCGCTGACAAGGGTTTTTCACCGACAAAATCGCTACACTTGCTTACAATATTAAATTTCACTTTGATAAATATTAGGTTTAAGCAAGCACAGCCACCAAGAAAAGTTTTGTTTTTCGTCGCTATCTTTTCATCCCGATAATGTCCGGAGTTCAAGTTTCCGACTTTTATTGCCACCGCTAGCGTTACATTTGCACGCAGTTTCAGCTTTCTGTGATGCATAGTTTATTTATACAGGCCGTAACCCCAGTTTGATGTACTCGATCTTACTCTTTAAAATTTATTTCAAGCTCAAAATAGCATCTAAAAGACTCCCGCTTAGAAAATGGCAGTTAACTATTTCTGTGTTTTGAAATAAATGGTTATTCTTTTTAATGTTCAAAGTGCCAGTGTATAACAGAGATGGCAGTAATGACATTAGTGCAATGTAATTACAGTAAGGAAACTAAAGGTACAAGGCTAGCGGTTGCGGTAAGGCGCCCGCGCGATTTTTGCGCCTCTTATCTAGCCCCAGCCTTGTACATGCTCCACGAGTGGTAATTTTAGTGCGCTACTACTCTTCTCGAGCGCTTAAAGTCTTTCTGAAAATGACCGATTTAGTGGTTTTCGATAACGCTCAGCAACTTTCTAATTGGAATCATATGTCTATGTCCACTAATTAAAAAGTTAATTAACAAGTTTTAATTAATTATCTGGCTAATTAGTAGGTTTTTGGCAATTCCTGACGTCCGTCGTGGCTGGTAGTTTGTTCCCGAAGAGAGTTTCTTCTGTTTTCAATCGCCCTAATTTTACGATTTTTGAGTCTTCGCAAAAACACCAGGTATATATATGTATATATATATATATATATATATATATATATATATATATATATATATATATATATATATATATATATATATATATATATATATATATATATATATATATATATATATATATATATATATATATATATATATATCTGTGTGTGTGGGTTGTCTTTCTATAAACATTTAGGCACGGAGACATATCTTGTCACAGGTTTGTATATCATTTTGTCTAGCTTACCGTCTCGATTACGAAATAGTTGCACGCATTGTTTATGAACGATAGTTTTACAAAATATTCGCCCAGTATTTTGGATATCACGGAATCCTACCAACATTAAGTTTAACTCATAAAAAGTAAATGAATCTTCAACTCTACAAAAAAAAAAAAAAAAAGCATAACGGACAATTTGGTGATTTCGGAATGCTACTCTTTTAAAAATGACCTGAGTGATACTTACCCAGAAAACACTCGAACATCCAATCTCTGCCATCCAAGAGATCAGCTCAGCGAATGCTGCGGCGAAATGTCTGTTGAGACCTCAAAATTAAGTCTGCGCTGTGTCATTGCAATACAAGCATGGCGCTTTGCATTGCGCAATGCCACAACGCAGACTTCATTTTTAGGTCTAGACGGATGTTCTACCTCATCATTCGTTAAGCTCATTTTGTAGATAACAAGATTGTTTTTTTTTTTTTAACGTTTTGCGGGTAAGTAGACGCGCATATATATTTTAGAGCGTAGCCGCAGTGGCTCGGTATGTCTCTAATCGAATCAATGGCTCTTATCCAAATGGGTCCGAATACCTTGTAAAATAAATGAATAAAGATTTCGCTCAACGGAAAAAAGATAACTACGAACATAGTCAGTGTTTCAAAGCGCCCAGGCGAGGTAGACCCCACATGGTATTGGAATATAAATTTGTTGGGGAAGCCCTTCAGCGACTCAGTATGTTCCATCATACTCTTGTCCTTCCGCCCCACATTGAATAGTTTTGAGTGTCTAATCATGCCGGTGTTACACTGGCACCCTCAATCGCAGTTAACTCAGCTGCAACTGCTGCTACGCTTCAACACAGTTACTTCGCTATACTCTCTTAGAGAAAGTGAAAGTGCGCGTGCACTGTTTTGATATGCGTGCTCAAGATTCTCGATCAAACGCACGTGCGCCCGTAGCTTTGACTGAATAGCCGCAGAATGTTGTCGGGAAGTATTGAGCGCTAACTGTGGCTTAGCATAAATGCAGTTAAGTGTGCCCGTGTTACAAGGGTATTAAAGAGGAGAGTGACATCGGTTAAATCTGAATATTTTAGAACATCCGTAGTTTCTAATGCAATATAGAGTTTTCTTATATCGTTTTCGCCGTCCCGCAACGCTCTCTGCAATCCGCTACGATACGCGGAAGTCTACAGTCGAGGCCATCGGCGCGCACGGACAACAGCGGTTTCTTCGTTGAGGAGGGCTTAGTGGAGTGGAAAACGCGGTGTACGAAAACTCCCCGTTATATTTTTCTCCACGTTATAAATTTCATGTTTCTTTTACATCAACATTTATGCCGCAAAATATTTTGTTTATTGGTAATTAAACCTTTAATGTTTTCTTGCTTCAAACATAACCATATATTTTTTATGGGGTTATATTTCGTTTCGAGTCGAGGAAACCGAGTCGAGAAAACCCAGCTGGACGGCTCTTTCTTTTTCTAGTCTAGCCAAACAAATATCTGTCACCCAGGAAACAAATTCACACCTAAAGTAAATACTTACGGGGTTCAATAATTTTTATATTGCCGTTGCTCCTATTGTCCGCATCTGCAATTACATTAAGCGACATACCTGAAAAAACAAGGAGGCAAATGCATCAATTGAAGAATAGCTCTCCTTTCGGACGTAACATTCACGTTAAAAGAAAAATGTGCTAACACATTCTTTAACACCTCAGAAGTGAATCGTAATTTGAAGAAGGCTTAATGTTGTTTCATTCACGCGATTACAGCAATTTACTCAGAAACATTGGTGACACATCAGTCATGTGCGCGGCTGTCCTTAGTGAAGTGATGAGTGCTAGGAAGACTTTTCTCTTAAACATTCCACAACACCCTCAAGATCGTCTGACACAATCTATTAAGGGATATTCACACGAGGGAGAAATCCCGGGGATTTCTCGCATTTAATTGCATTATAATCATAACATTAAATTACAAGCTTCACCCTTGTTGGTGTACGACTGGTGGCAGCTGATAAACCTCGTTTGCTCTACTGACGTCTAACCCCTGGTTAGCTCAGTTGGTAGAGCGCTCCACTTGTAATGGAGCGGTCCCGGGTTCAATACCCGGACCAGGCGGATTTTTTCGGTCGCGCACCAGTCACCTAGATGTGTTTGGAGATTTCTGTTTTCCTTTGTCCCCCTTGTTCCCCTTCTCCAGGGTTTATTTTCGTCATTCTTGTCCAGCTCGCTTGCACCTTCGCATTTAATTGCATTATAATCATAACATTAAATTGCAAGCTTCACCCGTGTTGGTGTACGACTGGTGGCAGCTGATAAAACCCGTTTGCTCTACTGACGTCTAACCCCTGGTTAGCTCAGTTGGTAGAGCGCTCCACTTGTAATGGAGCGGTCCCGGGTTCAATACCCGGACCAGGCGGATTTTTTCGGTCGCGCACCAGTCACCTAGCTGTGTTTGGAGATTTATGTTTGTCCTTTGTCCCCCTTGTTCCCCTTCTCCAGGGTTTATTTTCGTCATTCTTGTACAGCTCGCTTGCACCTTCGCATTTAATTGCATTATAATTGTACACCCTTCCCCTTTAAACTAAGACTGCAGCCCATGCCGCAGGCACGAGAGCTCAAAGTTGCTGCCTTGAAGCGTTCTTCCGCGGAACGAACACTCGCGCTAGAAATGCACGTCTCAAAGTCAGGAGAGCGGGCTTGCTGGGGCTTCTAGATTTGGCTGCAGACCACGGTGTACTGCAGACTCAGCTTGTGGGTGAGCAGAGTATATACTTCGTCTCACCCACGGTGGAATCAGCTTAGCCTAGACTAACTGCGATGTCTGTGCAAGCGCGAGCGGTTGCCCTTGACTGCTTTGATTGGAGCACTCCCTGCATGAGCGCTCATACAGCCGAAGAAGCTTCATTCAAAGTCACTAGCTCGCGCGTTTAGCATGCACGACTAACGGTCTCACCTTAATGGTAAGGTGAGACGAAGTATATTAGCGGCGAGATGTTTTGGTGGCGCCCTCCCATGGTTCCTCGTCGTGAGGTCATTACCTTGCGAACAACAAGTTCGATGGTGTTTGTAATGAGCATGGTGGAAGCTTGAAATCATTGCACTCTGAAACCCACGTTGCCAACACCGCCAAAATTGAAGTTCTTCCATTCCTCTTATTTACGTCATAGAGAAATCCTTTCCTCACGTCATAGTCAGTACTGGTCTAAAGCATGCAGCGATTTGGGGCCTAGAGCGGCGTGATTTCTGCCGTTACGGCGCTCGTGCCGCTCAACCGCTGGTGCTGGCAAGAGCTCCGGGATGGCAGAAATCTCGCCGCTCTAGGGCCAAAACCGCTGCATGTGAAACACGCTTAATAGTGGAAGACCCATCACAGCGACGCTTTCGATTGCGCACGTCGGCAATAGTTATGCCACCACAGCCTATTTGAATCGTGGAACTTGTCTTTTTTGCACGTGGGCCAGTTGTCTCGTGCTCTGCTCTCGCAGACTTGCAGCGGGGTTGTCTCGCGAGCCGAAAGACTACAGCTCCCACGGAACATGCTGTCTGCGGCGGGGTAACGAAACTGGCTCGCGAGATCAGTCTTTGCAGATGGGAAGCGTCAAAAGGACGATGTAACGATTTGTGTATTCTGCACAAATACAGCTTAGAACGGACGTTAGGGACCTGTGAAACACCCGTTCGTTTTTCACCACACAAAATCGAAGTTGCTGAAAAAATTAAAGAAAAACGAGCAGCACTATCCCCCTCAACTCGCCGCTAGAACAAGCCACCACGTGATCTGGAGCCTATCATATGCCGCCAATGTTGGTCATAGCCACGCGCTGGGGTTGGCAAGGAGCAGGACACACGCTGAGTTCCAGACATTGTTATGGCTCAGCTATTGTCTTCATTGCAGCGATTGGACACGGTCAACTACCCGGATGCTTCTCGAGCTATTAGCAGCGAGATGTTTTGGTGGCGCCCTCCTATGGTTCCCTTTTGTGACGTCATTACCTTGCGAACAACAAGTTTGATGGTGTTTGTAAATAGCATGGCGGAAGCCTGAAATCATTGCGCTCTCAAACCAACACCGCCGAAATTAGAGTTCTTTCATTCCTCTTATTTCCGTGGATGGTATACCCTTTCCGACGACATAGTCAGCTTTTGGGCCAATCGTGGAAGGCCGACCACAGCGACGCTTTCGGTCGCGCACGTCGTCAATTGATTATCACATTCTGGGTGGCGGGCTGGCAGGCGCACTAGCGTACGGGTTTTAACTTTTCTGCACAGCCGTGCACGCCGCCCAGGATCACGAGTTTGTATGCAAATAAATAAATAAATAATAAATAATAATAATAATAATAATAATATTATTATTATTATTATTATTATTATTATTATTATTATTATTATTATTATTTATCACAAGCCCAAATCGAGTGCCCATGCAATGCTCAGCTCCAAGCTTTGAGCCGCAGCAAAATATCGTTACTGGAGGATACCGCGATCCCCCAGTTACGTCATCAAATTTCGCGAAGGAGAGATTGAATGGCAATGCCCGATTTTGTTCTTAAAAGTTTCACCGCAACAGAGGAGTTTTTGAACAGTGGCGTTGCGCGCGAGTATCCTGGACTGCCACTAGTGCCAGTAAGTTCATGTTAAGTGAAAAGCATTCCAGCTGAATATCGTTGCACCACCCCTTTAAAGGGGTGCAGGAACGAAATGTTTGCACTTCTTTTTTCTTTGTTCAGATATGGTCTATGTTGTGCCGGCAACGCAGAAACACTAGCCTCTAGTCTAGTGTTTCTGGGCTGCCGGCAGAAAAGCCAAGAAAACTACCTCGCATTCTCTGTGAATAACGCGCACAAATATGGCACCCAGTGAATACCTTATATATAGCGTGTTTGAAGACACCCGTCTCAATATCAAATAGGCCGTAAAAATCGGCGCGTGCATTAAGCCATTTAATCTTTTCGTTAAAAGTGTACTTGAAAGGTCGGTTTTTTTTAGGGCCACAACATTTGGCGCGGTCAATGGCGGACGGCAACGCAGACGACCGAGTCAAGTTGCGGGGAGTGTTTGGCGTTCGTATTGATAGATGGCGTCGGAAGCAGCGTCGGTCGGAAGGTGTAGCCCACCAGAGAAAGAAAGCAGACGGTATACGCTGAGGAAATCCGTTGGCAACAAGAGCGCCATCGTTTTGCAAACGCTTTTTTTTTTTTTACTTTAAGTTTTGATTTATTGTCCACATTTATTTTTTAAGCAAAAGTACATTACAAAAACATTATTTCCTTCCTCCTCAGACCCGACACTAATGCCACAATAAAACAACTTTGATAAAGTCCTTAAATTTACAGTTGGGTTCCAACAAACCCCCCCCCCCCCCAAACTTATTTTTAATCTGCGCAGCGACTATTTATATTTAATTGATTGTCCCCCGGCAGGGACGCCGGGTCCATTCTTAAACATAAGTAGGAATTTTGTAAATTTTTGTGTATTCGAAAAGGGCCGGTAAATAACTGCTTCAACGCTGCGCTTTTCGGAAAACGTGAAATAAATAAATTGATTGGTTAATAAATTGATTGGCACTCAAGAGACAACATAAGCAAGTTCGGTATATTCCTCACACCTCATACTAGTAAATTAACTCGCCACATTAATTGTTCTCCGACTCCACTTACGAATGAAATTCATAGGAGCAGTTTTTGCCAACTTCTATGCAAAGGTACACGTCGCAGTGAGCACAGCGGTGGCGTGTCTTCTTCCTGCAGCCAGCGTTTCAGCACCTTGATTCACTTTGAACGTCGTCCTTCACTGGCAAATGAAGTGCGTCTTGTTTGCGAAAATGTTCCGATGGTAGAGCTTTTCGCCTTTTTCTTGGCGCGTTGTTTATGTCGTGTTCGTCTTCTTAAGACGGCCTCTTCCTTGCCGCAGTGTTCGGGTCATCTTCATCGTCTTGAGATGGTGGGCTCATCTTCTACCATAGCAATGCCTCAGCCACAAAAGTCTTGAAATCAAGGTAGTCAAGAATGTTTTTTCTTTAGATTCCCTCTGTCTTTTGTCTGCTCTGTACTGAAGCCAGCTGTTGACGCAAGCAACATCAGACATGTAAAGCATTGTGCGCAGTGTCCACCTGTTTGTGCGGATCCTTTGAGCATACAAGGCGAGCATTCGGTCAGATAAGTCCACACAACCCATATTTTCATGGCACTTCTTGATAACGAATGGGCGCGGGACATCCAGAAACTTTTCCTATTTTTTGCACCACATTTTGCACTCATCTTCAGGCTGCACTCCAAAGGCAGCCGACAGCATCACAATTGTCTTTTTGTCGATCTATTTTGTACACGCAAGCGTGCGGTCTTGTCGCAGCAGCTCCTCCGAAGTGCCCCGTGATTTCTTCAACAGTTCTTTGTCATTTGTGAAATGGGCCTCTTTGGCATTCTGTTCTTCATCAGAGTGCCGGCGCCGAAAATGTTCATCTTCGTGAGCTCGTCCATCAAACGGACCGAAGAAACCAACGGTCAATGTACAGCGTGGAACACGCAGGCAGTGTCTCAACTAGCTTCACTACTGAGTTGCCTGATACGCCAAGGCCAACGTCTGGAAACGTCTCTGCCTTTGTAAATTACAAAATCATAATTCAACCC